GTCCAGGCATTTTCCCAGGACAAGCCCCTACTCCCCATCTGTAGCTCACATCCCTGCCATAGGGGGCTCCCAGGTCATGCCCAGGAGTGACTGAGGCCACCAGGGCCTTGTTAAAGAGCAGCATAGGGCAGGGGCCCCTTGGGGTGGTGCAGCTGGGCTACCCCCTCCTCCTCTTTGGGCAGATGGTTTTCCCAACTCCCAAGATAACCCCTTCCCTGCCTGCAGCTCCTCCAGCGCCCCCATTCTCCACGCCTTGGCATTGAGGCTTTGGTGTCATTCATTCATGTTCCACCTGATGCCAAGGAACTCAAGTCTGCAGAGGGGAGGTTGTGCCTGGCCTGTACTCAGACCTCAGCATTTCAGCTGAGGGGCCTCATTTATGCAGCAAACCTTCCCAGACGGCTTTGCTTCCAGCTGCTCCTTCACTAAAGTGCCCTGCCCACACTGAAATGAAAAGGCCAGGTCTACTCTGACATGGCCAGTTCTGTGGCCATGTTGTGCCCCCTGAAACAGTGGACTGCTGCAGGTGGGGGTTGCAAATCCCATCCTTTCAGTAAGTGGGTGCCTTGGATACCCTCCTGCTGTGACTGGGAAGCCCTCGTGGAAGTAACAGCACAATTCCAGTCCACTCGGACAGAACTAAGCCTCCGCCCTGTTATAGTGGAGAGAGAGCAGTGATGTCTCCACCTGTGCATACAACATGGAAGCACCCGCCAGGGCCCACAGGTAGCCTAGAACCAGAGCTCAGAAAGAAGAACACACTGGGCAAAACAGAGGGGTTGCTAATGATTTCACAGCTGATCATGTCAACAGGGACAGGAGCTGAACACTGCATGGCCTGAGAGTCACCAGCCCAGGGCTTGCAGGGGTTCAGTCTTTCGCTGGGCCACGGCCATCATTCCCCAGCGCACTCTGTCCTGCTGCTTACCTACTTCACACCTTGTGGAATTCTGCAGGAGGCAAAAGCCAGGACAAATCTGAAAAACCAGGTTTAATAGAGAACCAGATGGGATGGGCCCAGGAGCTGCTGCCCTCCTTGCCAATACAGCATATGGCCTGCCTGGGTGGGTGGCATAGACTCTACTGCAGCCTGCAGTGAAGCCAAGGGGCAAGAATGCAACCTCCCAGCTGGCCGAGAGCCAGGGGGCAGCATGTGCCATAGACAAGTCCTCCAGTGACTGGCACCTGCAGGCAGGGACCTAGGAGCTCACCTGCATGTGACCAGCCCCTACAAAGGGCAGTTCTTTAGAGACTGGGGCATTTGCTGAAGTTGCAGCCTGCTTGGCAGAGAGGCAGTCTCCTGGCCTGGATGGCAACCCTGCAGAGATGTGAGCAGTGCAGGCCTCTGGGCTGGCTGCACAGACTGGAATGCGTGGCAGAGTTCAGGCACATGCAGATGAGACGTGTAGGAGCCAAACTCCTGGGGCACGGATCAGAGGGCTTGCTGGCAAGTCCATGTCTGTCCAGACTGTCTGCATCAGGCAGGTCCCTGCTGCCTCCCGCAGTCCCTCAGCTCCTGCCCATTAGAAGGCCAGTTTCTTCATGAGGAGGTACACCCTGGAGTCCACTTCGAAGCCATGCAGGTTGTTGGCATCTCCCTGGAGACGCATGAGCAGCCCTCCATAGGACACGTAGGCAGAGCTAGGGTGGAGGGGAAGGATGACAGCAGAGCAGGAACTCAGGGGAGGCTGACCATAGCCCCAAGCTCTAGAAGCCTAGCTAAGAGGCAGCAGCACTGGCTCATGATGGGCTGAGGGAGCTGGCTGCCAGGGCAGACTCCAGCCAGCTCCTCAGGGAAGCAGTCCCACACAAGACCAGCGTACTGGGCAGCTCAGCACAGACTGCTAGCAGAATCAGGTGTTCCTGCCCCCAAGCTTCCTGTCTGGGCACCAGACTGGCCATGGACCACCCCACCCCCTGGCATCCACGAAGGACCAAATTCCCAATGAACGACAGGGAAGCAGCACAGGGGAGACACTTACAGTCGCGTGGCAGCCTCTGTAGACGTCTCATCTCCCTCGATCCTGTACACCTTCCCATACATCACATACTCAAACTGGTCAGCCCTGTGACAGCAAGACAGCAGGGCAAGAATCGGCATGACCCTGGACCCAACCCTCCTG